GACACACGAGACAGAAAATATGCGCTGGTTCTGAAAAACCGGTGACAATTGATATTTTTATATTTGTGTGCAACTGGTATTCTTAAAAAGTATTTCTTTACCAGAATCAGCTATAACATCGCCTTAGCTTAGCAAGAAATTCCCTGCATGGTGTGTTGTTACCACAGACATATATCTAGAAAGACGCCGCAAGTATACGTACCTACTTCGCGTGTTCAAAGTAAGTGAAATTCACTTAGTTGCCGCTGCTACACTTCAGAACGCGCTCGACCGTTATCATACACCAGTCGAAAACGCGAAAAATGCATAATTGTGCCATTATAAACTGCAAAAACATCATAACTGTGGGTAAACGAGTAAACAGGGACGTTTCCTTCCACGGGCAAGTGATTTTGTAATCAGAAGATGCATAATTTATAAAAAATGAAATTATTTTTCCGGATTTACATCGCGTATATTTGTTTTTTCCAACAAACCGACGTTTTGGGCCCTTTACAGGTGCCATGGTCACGGATGACTTGTAGTCTGTAGACAGGTTGCCTCGAATATCCGAATATAGCGAGCAAATAATTACATACATCGCCGGATGTGTAGTACGAGTAATACAAAAAATATATAATGCAAAGAATTAACAGTGCGTCTTTACAAAAACCTGGAGTTAGTCATACGTATGAGTCCGTTGCTTTTGAGGACGAAGGTGGTCTAGTTTATCCCACCTAAGATGCTATCCAAATATGCAGAGTAGCAGAATTAGAAATCCGAGAAATAATAAGCAAATCACAAAAATTTCACACGAGGCCGTCATTAAGTAAACCTCTTCTGATTAATAAGATTTCACCATATTTTGTCAGCAGTAACATTTTCACCATTCATCAATTTGATCAATAACCAACAAAAAACCATCTAGTAAATTAATTCAGGCAGTCGCAAGTTCATATAGTGACGTGCGTTTTCATTATTTAAGTTAATCGATAAGATCTATTACAAAAAGATGTTATATAATAAGCTCATTATATTGACAGGACAATAATTTTAATTTTTGAAGTCGATTAAAAATTAACGTTTTAATTTTTTTAAGTAATCAACATTTAAAAACATAAAGTACTTAACCATTGACCTACCAACAAATGGACGTCGGGTCTAATACAAAAACCACGAAAAAAATGTCCGAAGTTAACCTATACAAACGTAGTGACATGTAACAAAATATGAAAAAGTAAAACCATTAATTTAAATTGTAACGTCATTGCAGTATTGCCTAATTTTGCTTGTAACAATTTAAGGGCCCAAAAACACCATATTCAGCTTCTACTGGAAGTTTAACAAAATGCACCATATTTAGCTTCGACTGAAAATTACTTGAACACAAGTGTAATGGAGTAGCCTTTATCGTAAATATTAATTAATTTTTACATATATTATTATGTTGAATTTTGTACAAATTCACTTAAAGAAATAATAAAGTATTGGGCAGAGACATACATCCAAATATTACTACAAATGTGCAAATAAGCGTGTACTATAAGAAATGTACCGATATTCCAACTAAACGTATACTCAAATATCCGTAATTCCGAAAACCGATTTATAATAAAACTGTTACGCTTTCGAGTAATTGATGCTTTTCACAAAGACAAAATCAGCTTTTGTTTTGTAATCTTCCTAAAAAAATACATTTGACATTTCGGGCAAATGTATATTCAGACTTCTGATAGGCAATCCCAAGCCATAAAACGAGTACAACAATATTTTGTTAGTTATTACTAACGTTTAATAAAAAAAATCATTAAAATCAAAGCGACTCTATAGTTTCTTTGTTCTTATATTATAAATATTTCAATCGTTTGTGGTTCGAACAATTGAAAATGACCCAAGAAGTTTATAAAAGCTTCTTGAAATTGACGTAATGGGTCTCTTTCCATCTTTTACGCATGCAAAGTGTAGAAAAAGGACAGTTAGCTATTTGATTATTTTGTGTGCTTTTGTAATTTATATTTACGATTCATTTATATATAAATTAAATACTATAAAACTGTAAAAAAAATCCTTGTAAATGAGAACTGTGATAACACAATATATTTGTTTAGTGAAAATATGATACAAAATCCTATTTTTACACTTTACTGCAGTGATTTTTACAAGTTATTATTATATGATACTGCATGATTGACAACCGCGCTGTTAGTCGAACAAACGAAGACTGTTGCGCGATTGACGCTCTGTATGTGATTTTAACGCCCTATAGGTGCGGACACTTTTTAGTGCGAACCCGATGTCCATTTATTGGTAGGTCAATGTACTTAACTATCTATTCTAGTATTTTTCTACTACATTAATATTACGGCTACTTGTAATCAACAAATACTTGAACAAAAAATATTCTATTTCAAATCGATTAATTGAATACACGTAACCACGCGTTCTCTGTTCAATCAATCGATTTAGAGCGAGCAGAAGGAGATTTCCATCACTAAATAGGTCTTGTGACGATGACGTCACAAGAAGTAAGCTAAGGTCGCGCTCGGAGAGGTCAAATAACGTTGCCCGCTGTGTGCAGTCGTGCGGAACCGAATGCTGGGATTGTACAAGGATTGTAATGATTGGATTGTAAAAGACTTGTCTGAGTGCTTGCACTGTCGGCGATGCACTCAGCGGTAATCGCGTAACCTCAAGCGAATGACGGAGCTTCGCCGTTACTGCGTCCCGGTTTTAAAAGGTAGGGATCTTAGTGTAATTACTGTTACTTTTATTATATGAAACTTGTTAACTTATGTTTCAGGGGGACACATTTTTTGTACCCACTATGAAGTGGGTACAAAAAATGTGGCACGCTTGATTTCCATACAAATAGTTGTGCTTGCGGCGTCTATTTCGATATATTTCTGTAGTTGTTGCGCTGATAACAACATCATTGTAAAGAGGCGTCGGGTCATACCTTAATTTTAAACAAAAACATCCTATCTGGATTCTGGGAGAGTACTTTCCACACAGACATATATCATAATTAGACATAATTAGATGCCGCAAGTGTACCTACTTCGCGGGCCCCAGTGTATGCTATAACCACTGAGTTGCCGCTGTTACGCGTCAGAACGCGTCCTCCCGTTATCGTAGACGAATAATCATCAGTCGAAAACGTGCAAAGTGGTTTTCATACAGATCGCGGTACTTGCGGCGTCTATTTAGTTATATGTTTGTGACTTCTCACCAATGGCTATTATTTTAAGTAAACCTGGGCTCATATGGGCAGCAATGTTATGTTAGCTTGCATGAATCTGATCGAGGCCACGAATGATCAATGTCGTAACAGTCACCCTTTTAGTTTTAGTACCTAATAAAATTCGCTGAACGACTCTATAATGTTTGCTATAATCCCTAATGCTTTTCGTATCGCGGTAAAATTGTGTGTGACCGGCTCTCAATTGAATAATCTAGAACAGTACCTTTAGTGATAAGTAGGTCGAAAACATCTCTGTGATTACACTCTGGATATTTTGATCGATGACGAAGTTCATTGAGTTTTATCCCTCTAGTCTGTTTTATGATCCACATGATGTATGTTAGCATATATTTTCGAAGTTTCCAATATAAAAGATTATTCGATAGTCATAAAATTTCGAGTCAGTATTTAAGTGCGTCATAGTTTGTACGACCTTCACATAGGAAATCTTCCCGAGTATTACGTGTAAATGTTGTATGAAATTATTGCGGTCTATTTCCAGCCATTCGGATAGTTGTAAAATGAGGATACCAAACGTAAACAATATGGGATTTGCGGTAATATAAAAATATCTGCATTGGGACATGACTTTACCTAAAGAATGTCGTGCATTGTAAATTCGATTTTACTATGCTGATTTTCTTTTATGCCGAGGTATTTCAACGCGGCCTACAATTTAGGAAGTAAGGTGTGGGTGACCGGCCCTCGCGTCCCGCAACCCGCGCGCTTAAAATTCATATGAATAAAATAAGAACAGGCAGCAACGATATCTATGTGCTGGCGGAGAAAATTTGAATGTGTTTTTCAAATTTTGTGATAAATGTGAATTTAATAATTACAAGATTTCAGTTCAAAGATAAAATTTACCAGGTTCTCAGTAGTACCTAAAGATCTCCACATAAAAATTAAATGCAAACTTAGATATTTGGTTCTCATATAATTCGTTTTAGGGAAGACCGCTAGTTAATAGTAAATAATGGTTTAGGTCCATTTCATACAGCAAAACAATTTTTCCCGCTTCTTCTCCGGTGACTCGTTTTAATGTGCTCATGCTAATTATTTTGGTCTTTCATTATAATTTTTTTAATTCCTTGTTAAAATACAAAACAAAATCATTGTTCCGAAATTGCGTGATCGTAATAGTGACACAATAAAATTTCCGTGTGGTAAACTGCTATCAGTAAAAGTTGGATACGAAAATGATAAACTGCCAAACACCTTGTATTTTATTGCTTCGAATTAGGAATATTTCTAACAACAGTGCGCCTTGCTATTTTATTTTTAAGCAATTAAACACTCTTGCCGTTTCACGAAACAACGATTTATAAAGTTGGGTCATTTGTTGTTTCGAAACTTAAGGAAGCGTTGGATTAAGATTGATTGAAATCATTCTTATTACAACATTAATTCCATCTATAGACTTTGTCTTTTATTTGCTCCGTGATTAACGGACATTTTTATTTTAATTGCATTTTTGTATTACAAATTGAGTAAAATAAGGTTTTTCATTTATTTAAGCAGGACAAAGCATATATATAACACTAAAACTGGCTTGTCTCCAAAGAACCCACTTGGGCTGGGACGTAAATTTCTCGCTTACAGCAAGATGAAAAAAAAGTTTATTCCACTTTGCTATGATTCGTTTGTAGTACACAACTAAAGAGTATTTTGGTATCTACCTTAAAATAAACATAAAATTAATCATGATTTATTCAAATTATCCCTCTGTATGTAGTATTAGACTTACCGAAGTGTAAACTATGTTTTGTGTTTGTCGCAGGTAACTATGCCTCGTTTAAGTGGTGGAAAGGATGGCCTAAGCGAGAAACGACGACTGGAATGGGAGGCGGCTGTTGAAGCTGTCATCAGAGACATCACTACTCCTGCACCTACGCAGCAGAAACCACCTATTGTTCAAATTGTTATCTATGAGTCTTCGGTGTAGAAAAAAGTCTAGCTGAAGACTGATGATATAAAAATCTCGTGGAATTATGTCAATGTGATAGAAAGAAAAAGCACTAAAAAATGTCAATCATCAAAAAAAAATCGTGTGGTTCTCGGAGCGTCCAATGATTTTTGAAATCAGGACCATTAAGTTCACTGCTCCAATTTTCGATGTAAAGTCCGTTACAGTTTGAACATTTTCTTAGTACGTTCTCACAAGCTTCAATACGTCTCACTTTTCTATTTCTTACGATTGTTAAATGCGACAATTGGCTGCGTTTCAATTGTACGAAGCACGATTGGCGCCCTTTCCTGCGTGACTTTTGGACTTTATCGTCTCTCGCCCGAAAGTTCAAGGTCGAAGCTTGAATTTCTGCTGTAACGTTTCTGCTGAAGCACTGCCTATTTGAATCTTTGTATTAGAAAGCAGCGATGGAAGTGAAAGTGTTGGTATGTGGAATGCGATAAAAAAATTGTGGTCTTTGAACTGTATGTGACATTGTAAATGCGATATGAAATATATTGGTTACTATCAATGACACCCCAGTTGTCAATCTGGCAGAAATAAAAATAGATGAAAATATTGTTATATCATTTATTTTCTATTATATATTAGTCCAAAAAGGACAACCGTATTTGCAGATCTATTAAATTATAATTATAAATTAAAGCGCCTCGTCAATGGCTAACATGTTCGCTAAATTTGTGGTGGACATTTTTGGTTTAGGTAAGGGACGTGTATTCCGTAGATAGGGCAGCTCCTTTCCTTTATAAAAATAAAGGAAAGGAGCGGCCCTTAGAGGATGGAAAAAATTTCCATCCTCTAAGATAAACCTATTGTTATCTCATTAATTTTCTATTATATATTAGTTCAAAAAGGACAACCGTATTTGCAGATCTATTGAATTATAATTTAAATTAAAGCGCCCCATCAATGGCTAATATGTTGGCTAATGTATAGCCCTGCAAAATTAGAGTCACGGAAACTAGAACGTTATTAGAAAAAGCATGTGATAATTCCTTTATATTATCATCATAAAGAGTGCGAGCTGTATCAAGCGATCAGTGAACGTGTGAGGTGTGAAAGGTATTTAATAATTATTTGTATATTATGTAGATGAGCAACGTGCGTAGGAATTGTTGATTCTGTGTTAATACTCTTGCCATATCTAAAAGCACTTACCTTTTCTTGGAAATTATAGAACAAAATCTATGTTTTGATCTATAATTTCAATGACCATCATTCTTCTTTATATAAAATAAATATATCGTATATTTACATTTTAAATAAGGAAATTGATTTTGTGTTCAACTTGAATACTATTTATAATACCTTAATTAACATTGTGACACATATGTATATGAATATTGAGTTCTGTCTTTTTTATTTACACAGTACCTGGTTCTGTTATTTTAGAAGGTTATCAATAAACGATATTACAACGAGATTTTTAAATAGCGTTTTATTTCTACGTGGTACACGTTCTTACGGTTATGATTTAAATTGATTTAAAACCTACAATAATATAATATAACAAATAACTTTGTAATTAAAGAGGGATTATAACAGCCGTTTAGTATTGGATTAGGCTCGGTCTCAGAAGAGGATTTGCTTATATTACGCTGAGCAAGCTGATTTTCGATAAGAATAGTTACTTATTCGCAGTGAGAAAGTCGAATGGTAGTCTGCAGCCTTCATTTATTTCCTATTCGTCTCTGTACATATATCCACGGTAAAGAGTGCCTACACTTACATATTTTAATAAAATTACTAGTGACCTTAATCCATATCAATGCTGCGTCCGAACATTTGTAATATTACTGTAGATGTGGCGTACCACTCTTGTACGCCATCTTTCGCTTTTACGACTCAATAAAATATACCCGATATTTGTGCTAATATCGTAATATACCGTGTAAACACACTATGTCTGCACTCAAACGTTGCATCTATAAAACATACATTGCATTTAATGAACACAGTACCGACAAGGTTAACAGATGAAACGGTTGTAGGGATGTTGATATTAAGGTGCCCTTGCCAACATTTATGCGAATGAACGGTTGAATCGATCTTACCTTTGAACTATAGTTACTTTTCGTTTTGTACATTTTGCTTACTCAATTATAATAAACATATTCTCGCTCATATACATGATCTCGGTCTCAACTGTAACTTCTCTACCCAATTTTTTAAATAACAATACCTTATGACCATGATAGTCTAACCTAACGTTAATTAATAGAACATCGTCAGGCATATATATATGCCTCATGATGTTCAATTAATTAAGGTTTATACAATCGATGCCCTAATATACCTGAGCCCACTTTTTAGTTCTGAGAGCCTCCTTACTAATTCCACAGAAAAGTGTTAAAGGAATTCCAGCTTTGTGGTTGAAATTTCTATCAAGTATTTAATTGAATACGTATCTATAACATTAAAGATCAAATTGGCTTAAGAGGTTTCTTAAAACATCATTTGCTAATGATTCAATCTGAAAGTCATACCGAAATGAATTTTACGGTCACAAGGTAAAGGTTAAGATTATTTAACATTTATAATGATTATGCTCGGAACCAAAAAGTTCAGTTCAGTTATGACTGAGTTCCGGTTTTGAAGGACAAGGGTGCTAGTGACAGTATAGGCATAGTTTTAGGGGACTACAACAGCTATGGATAGGCGTGTCGGTTACCACCAGGCGTACGACCTGTACATCCCATGATATTATAAAAAATAATATAACGGTCCCCTTATCTAAGGTCTAGGTCAAAGCACAGGTTAACCAAGTGTAACCAAGAGGTTGAGGGTTACTATAAAACAAACTTCTGTAGAAAGACATGGGACTAGTCCCTTGCCTGCGGCCTGTTAATGATAATGGCCGTTTTAGATTATTTGTAGCTATGCCATGCCTTGTATTCTAATGTCCTAATTGAAGGGAAACGTATTCATTAAGAAATGGAACCATACCATGAACATAAGAAGTACGTAATATAAATACAGATATAACTTTTCAATAATGCCCTGAATTGATGGCTATTTAATATTTACAATTCACAAGTACAAACAGGGTCGGAGGGTTAGTTGGTGTGTGTTTTTATGCGAGTGATACGTGAAACCTTTCTTTGGTCAGCTGCATAAAAAAATGTAATTATCGTTGTTTTTATTTATAATTCATATTATACAAATTTAAAAAGGTTTTCGTTATTGTCCTTAGCAATCGTACCACTCGCATAAAATAGCAAGGAAGCATTGATTACTCGTGATAAGTCTCGTACTTTGCTTTGAATATATAATGTGCATGCAAAATATTGTAAAAAATATTTTGATTGTTTTGTATTCCCCAATTATCATTGCGAATTTAATGAAAATTGTGTCTATTTTATAAATAACTATATTTCGTACGACACAATTATTATAACTACCTTCATAGAGTAGTTCTTCAGTAATATGACAATATTCTACACGCTTCGTAAGATAACTTAACCTATTCAATAAAACGTCACTGTAATTATGTATTCTGAAGATTAGACCACAGATCACCTACCACCTGTCACCTCACCTATTTCTGCCGCCAAGCGGTATTGTACTGTGTTCCGCGTTTGAAGGGTAACGGTGTTGGTGAAATTAAAGGTACATATATCGGACTTGTCACCTTATGTCCATGAGTAACGGGCGCAGTGGCAATGCCCCTCAGATATTTGCGATTTGAAACTCTGAATGGCACTGCAACTGTGTTAACGACAGGCGTGTTGCTTACCACCCATAAATATAGAAAAAAAGGGGTGATATAGTATGGGGGCGTGGTTAGTGTCGACTCGATATGGTATAGTGACCATATCGACGTGACACGCTTACAAATTTCGCCACAGTGACATGGCGATCGTTGTACATACAAGATCTCTCGTAAAACGTGAAAATGCCCAGTTGTAGCGATACACCTTGTAAAAATTGGAGTGAAAACAAAAATTTTAAAACCAGTGAGATAACATTCCACCGGCTATTTGCATTTTTAGTTACTATTTCTATTATTATACAATGTTTTCATTTTGTCTCCATAGACATTTCTAGACTGAAATATAGTGATGTTCATTTACGAAGACTGATGTTCATCGACAATAAATTTTTACTGAAATGTTTGAATTTCTTACTATGATTTTTGTAACTAAAGTCCCTAAAATATCGAAGCGAAAAGCATTCACGTTAAATTGATTTCTTTTATTTTGATTATTATTATTATTACTAAACATTTTATTTCGAGTAACTTTAACGCAACTCATATTTCGGACAACCGTTTCAATTTCATGTCAATTTGGATGTTGCTGTTGCTTGCAGAAAATTTTATGTGTTTTAGATATTTAAATTCCATTATACTCGTAGATTAAACGTAGAGTATTTTTAATTTTTAAGTTTTTCCAATGAGTTCAAAATAAAAGAAGGTTGGATTGAAGCTGCAGGAAAATCGAAAGATTAGTTTTCTTATTACTATTTCTGACTTTGTTTCAATTTCCATAGCAAATGCATTTAAAAAATAAATAAAATAAAATCGGCTTTATTTTACTTGTGCATGCAAAATAAATTAGAAACAATTATAGAAAATTACATAAATCCTTCATAAAAAACAACATAATTTAATTTATTAAATCCGTTCCTGGTTCGAGTTACTCTTGACAGTGACAGCTTCACCAACCCGTGGTAACGTATAATGGAAAATTGACACTGGCGACAGTCGCCATATTTTTTATATTATTCTTATAAAACTGACACTGGTCCAAGCCTAGTGGCCGCCATTAAGAAAATAATAATAATTTATATTAATATATTAATTTAATAATACACCAGTACCAGTGTAGATATAGTAAGAAAAATGGAATATTTTTCTTAATATTAAAAACAGCCACATGGTTTCCAACTATCGATTAGGTAGGACCACATCACTCGTGGAGTAGCGTCAGTTTAAGGTTAATAAGGTTAACAATTCACGGAGCGGTTTCCATCCGCGCCCGCCGGCGCTGCTAGACAGCGGTTTTATTTCAAAACTTACGACCCTGCAAGTTTGTGCAGGAACCGTTGCTACTGCGGAACGGACCGCGAAGTTAGTGGGAGTTAATGACAAGTCGCGCGGTTAATAGAGAACTCACCCTGCGTGCGCCTGCACTATATTGCGCCTGAACCGACCGCCAAAGTGTGCGGGAGACGACGGCCGCCAAGCGCGCAGGTCATCGCGTCCTGCGCGGTTCTACTAGTACCCTGCCGCGGCAACCGCGACCAACCGTCACCACTACAGACGTAAAACGCGCCGTGAAATGTGCTACTAATTTTACATACTTAACTGTTACATTTTACACATGCCGCGGTCGCGCGGCAGACGCGGGTGAAAACCGCTCCGTGACTTGTTAGTGTAACGAAAAATAAGTTTCAGCGCCATCTAACGTGTAATAGTTAGCTATTATATATTAGTAGTATTTTTACTAAAACGCCACGTATTGGTGAATGGCTGAACCAGGATGAAAAAAATACTAAAATATTGTAATATAACTCTTATTCAAGTGATTGTAAGTTTAATTTTGTTAAATTTTAAAATTGTTTTACGTCGTTTTCACGTTTTAAGCCCTACCCAATCAATATCTTTAAGTTATGGTAGTAGACAATACAGCGCAAAGTTTGAATGCACACAAGTTAAAAAGTGGCGACATCGGCACCCGATCTTACATAGCGTCAATACATATCTCCCCTTTTTTTCTATATCCATGTTACCACCAGGCGCACGACTTGTTCGTCCTGTCACTTGGTAACATGAAAAAAAAATCGCAGTTGGATACCCAGAAACGGTACCAAAAAATGGATGTTATTGATTGCCTTTCCAAATGGTATTTTTTCTAGAAAGCATACGTTTCCCTTTGGGAATAGAACAATTGTTTCCAAGCATACAACTGATGATGCATTATTTTTAGAGCGCATCCTTCATCTATTTTGAGTGAATACGACTGTTGTGATGTGTGTCGATTTATCGAACTTGTTATGACGAAACGGCTGAACTGACTCATTCCCAGATTGACGTTTCTCCGAAACATGTTTCCAACGAGCTAGCAACAGTGATTGCGTATAACGTCGTCACTTTAGTGGAAATCAATGAGGCTAAGAATTCTTTGAGATTGTACATTGTAGTGTCGTATAAGGGTGTTGGAATTGTATTTATTTATGTTTGATACTGATTAACTATCGATGTTATAACTAGGTCATTTAATTCACTACTGATTCTGCCTTATACAGACCCAAAGAAACTGAGAACAAATTATGAATAGTTATATATTTTTAGCTGTTTTACGTATATAGCGAAAATTACATTTTCAGAGTAGAGAAACATGTTTTGCATTATCCTTTCCATGTTAAGAGTAACTAGAAATTAACCATTTCCATTAAGGCCTGATGCCTGACAAT